AATTTATGATTTATAAATAAACTGTTTGCCTACCTTTAATGTTTCATTGTTTCATACATTTTGTATTGGGTTTATACCGAAAAGACTTCTCTAATTTCTCTATCATTCCGCGAGAACTGAATGGCACTAATAATCGTTTTCTGCACTGATGTCAAAGTGACATAAGATGATAACTTGAATTCAACTTGCAAATCCTAATTGAAATTGGATCAAAGGCGTAAATGAAATTTGTTTTTTGGGTTGCATCTCCAGATCGTCAGGCTCATGATCTTATCTGAATCGCCCTGTATAGACTTCAATTTAGTACACTGAGATTTTTAAAAATTTTTAGCATGTCAGTGAGACCCTAAAAGTTTCATGAAAATAGTGCAATACCCCGAATTCCGTATAAGATTGTGCTACGGTTTTTTATTGGTAATAACTTGTAAAGACGAACTGTGCAAAATTAAGTAAAAGATGTGCAAAATTGTGCAAAATCAAATGATTTCATTGGTATAAAAATTATGCGTTTACGCTTAATTGAGGGTGCAGAATTTTTTTTTTAATTAGTAATTACTCGTTAAGTAAGGGTATGCAAAATTTAATAAAAAGTGTGCAAAATTGTGCAAAATGTGTGCAAAATTATGGTATTATTTATATTTAAAAATTCTTAAATTTGGGTGCTAACTTCACTGACCCACGGAAAACCCTCATGAAATTCATGAGGGACACTTTCAAAAACGATTTGGCGTAAGCGTATGGACAGGGATGGTAGGACATCATTTGATAGGTCCATACGTTTTACCTCCATTTTTAACTGGCGCCGCATATTCAAACTTTTTAAATAACAACCTGGAAAATCTTTTGGAAGCCACCCTGAGGAATATGTGGTATTTACATGACGGAGCTCCTGCCCACTACACCCAGGACGTGCGGGAATGGTTAAATCAAACCTTTCCAAGAAAATGGGTAGGAAGAAATGGTCTAGAATTATTGCCTTCTAGGTCTCCTGATATAAATTCTTGCTATTATTTTTTATGAAGAAATTAGTGTATGCGACACCCCTATATGATGTAGCAGCAACTATTTGGGCAAATCCAGATATAAGGAAAGCTCAAGGATCAAGTGCTCGAGCGTGCAAACCGAACGATGGTCGGCAATTTGAAGAGGTGAATTTTCCTTTTTCCTTCTCGTTAAAAAAAAATTAGAAATGGCCAATTCGCTTTCTTAAGGATGCCAAAGACCTCGTTTAATTTTTGGTAACGCATTTCAAAAACACCCTATATAAAAGAAGAATCTGTGATACAAGATACAACTGATCCTTATTGACAAATTTTAAGCTAAAAAGTTCCAGCATTTTATAGGTACAAAAAAAACTTTGTCTAAGTGATAGAAGTGGCGATAGCTGTGGCATAATGTATAACAGGTGTTTTTTTTTGGCGTCAAAGTTATCCATGAAAGTTTGATTGCGGACGAACCATCGTATTGAAAACTATTGATCTGACATTTGACACGTCGGGCGTATAAAAAATTGTGATCCGTTCACAACACACCCATATCACCGCCAACCATGACGCCAAATTTAAATAAACACCCGTTATACTTTATAATAAACACTTCAGTTGATGAATTCTGTATACCTCTCACTGATCTCTGTATCTTCAGAACTGTTAGTAGTATAGTCATTTGATAGTTTTACCTGGAGTTTTGGAAATGGGTAATACAGGCTGTATTATGAAAAACGCCCCAAGCCATAACTCCATTAAAGAAAAATCGTTTTCCTAAGACCTACTAAAAATTTTATTACTTTTAAGTATTGTATTGTGGTATTGTTAAGAGTAACCAGAGGGTAAACAAATCATAAATTAGTGGAACCCACCCGATCCCAGAAACTTAGGAAACAGGTCAGTTTTTAACAGGGCCGGATTATTTACTTTCCTTTTGTCTAAAATACTTGAAATATTTTAATAGTTTTTGATGTAGTCAAGTATTTTAAGAAATTTAAAAAAGCCAGGTGGTTATTAACAAGTTATTATTAAATAAAGCAGATTTTTTTTTAAGAATATCTTAATAAGAGCTACCACTACTTTGGTTTTAAATACGGCGCTGTTTTATTCTGGTGGGTGCAGCAACACTTGCAAAGAAACGTGCCATTTATGGAGGGTTACAAATTCAAGCCATTGTTTGGTTAATCTCTTATAATGTGTCATACAATTTTTAGTAGGTCTTAGGAAAATGATTTTTCTATATTGTTAATTCTTTTTAGAACAAAAATGAACATTTTTTGTCATCTATAATTTAAGGTGCTAAATTAATGATGTTTTTTTTGTAACTGAATATTTGTTTCTATTGTCTAACTCTAAAATACGAGACTATAAATAATTTATCCATGACCTTTGGTGCAATAAGAATTATATTTACTCATCAGATTTACAAACAATAAAAAATTAAAATAAAAGTAGTTGTCGCAATCTGACTTGACTAACCAACTATAGATTATTTGAATTTATAAGTTTTGTGTATCTGGTGAATCAATAAAACGACATGAGAGATATAAGCTGTTTGAAAATAATTAGTAGATTTTATAACCACTAATAGAACTCATTAATATAAACAACATTTCTATTTCCAACTTTTGCCAAAAACGCGTCATTTTTGTGTTAAAATAAAAAATAGGTTCAGGCTGAACACCCGTCTTAATACCATATTTACATTCATTTATAAGAAAAAAACTATGGAACGTACACAGCGTAAAAAGTGGGTTATATCGAGAAATCAAAATAATTTTACTTTCCTTATTCTATGTATAAGGAAAGTATGGTAATAGGCTGAAATTTGATCTACCCATATTTTTACATTTCTGGACAAATTATAGCTTCAAAATACCAAAAAAGTTGGTTTGGGCCATTGGGTCGTGTCTCTCTCTTTCTCTCCCTCTCTCTGTGTGTGTCTGTCTGTAAACAGCATATCTCGAAACAATAAGAACTAGAAACTTGAAATTTGGTATGTAAGTTACTTGTGAGAAGAGGATACAGCACGAAACAATCGATAAAAATCGGTCGCACTGTTCGGCCGCCAAAGACCAAAAGTCGGCCGTAAAGCGGCTGCAAAATTATATGGTTGCAGATACAATAAATTCATAGGGATAGAAATTATTTAGAATCGTGAAAAATACTTTATTAAACAGTAAAATGTGATAAAATACTAATAATAATAATGGGCACCGAACTAAAAAAAAACTGCACCCAAGACTCAAATCCGCGTCAATGAGTTATTTCGCGTGTAATCCGACAGGTGGCACTAACGCAAAGGTTAGGTTAACTACTCGGATTTCCAACACTAAATTATTGTCGTTAAGATGTTTTCTAAATAAGTAGGATAAGGAAAGTCGTGTGATGTTCACACCACATTTTTTAATCAAGTCATTTTTGGATCCGAAAACGTATGTCTGTTTTGAACTAACTGCACGTAAAACGTTAAATAAAATTACTAGTCGAAGAGTAAAACAGCAAAGTGAGCTGGAACAGTTTTTATTTGAAGGTATATCATAAATTTAGTTATTAAAATCATCATCTTTTTGATCATGGGATTTTACCTTTCAAATTTGCATTTTATTTGACGTTTCACAGACATACGTTTTCGTATCTAAAGATGACTCGATTACTGATCTCTTGATACTTGTCATTTTTAATTGATGCGGTAGCTTGCATCACACGATAGGTCGAGGGTATTAATTGAAGCTGCGTACACTAATTGTTTCATGTGAACCCACAAAAAAATCACAAGGATTTAAATCTGGTGACCGCAGTGGCCATGTAACTGATGAATTTTGGCGATTAATGCTTCGCTCGGGAAAATGGTTGTTCAAATTCATGACGACTTTGGCATAATGTGATGGGGTTCTATCTTGTAAATAGAGGGTTGTTTGATATGTCTGGTAAAAAACTATGACCACGTGCGTAAATTAATTTGGCGAACCGCAAGTGAGATATGTAAGAGTAAGTCTGTAAAAGATTCGACAAGAAGTGACGCTTGGTTGAAAAGTTAGAGAATGTTAAAAATAAGTTTCGAGAATGGAAAAAAACGAATTTCGCGCTGTGATAAAACATTTTTATTTAAAAAATGAACAGCCGCTCAGGTTAAAGAAGAACTAGAGGAAGTACATGGAGAGTTTGCACCTTCGTTGAAAATTATTTCTAGATAAACGAATTTAAACAGGGTCAAACATCCACCCAAAATGAAGCGCGCTGTGGCCGCCCTATCGACCTCACGACTTTACAAATTGTGGAAAAAATCCACAAAATTGTCTTGGACGACCGCCGGGTGAAAGTTATGGAAGTTGCTAAAATTGTAGGCATTCCTACTAAACGGGTACATTTTGTCTTTCATGAAAAAATGCATATGAAAAAAAAATGTGCAAGATGGGTGCCGCGATTGTTGACTGGGCACCAAATGCGTACCCAAAGGGAGATTTCAGCACTCGCTGAATTATAATTTGAATTAGTTCCGAATTCACCCTACTCACCAGATTTACCACTGTGTGACTTCTACCTACACCCAAATCTAAAAATTTTGCTTAGTGGAAAGAGATTTCATTCAAACAAAGACACCATAGCTATGGTGAATGAATATTTTGCAGCACTCAAAAAATCTTTTTTTTTCCGATAGGTTAAAAAAATTAGAAAGCCGTTGGATGATACTGAAAAATAAAAATTATTGTTACCAAAAATTTCTTCTTTAACTAGGAATTTTACCACATTTGTCAAACAACCCGCGTACCAAATATCTGTCTCGCTAAGAGCACGTCCTCTATCAGATCGGCCGATTTACGAAAAAATCTTAGATGTTTAGGAAGATATTTTGAAAACTTGGTATTTAATTGATTCACTATTTTGACCCCAATCTTTTACATAAATATGTAAAGGGTCAGATGTTAATTATTGTTTTACTGTGACCCATTTAATGGAAGTATTAAAACAAATTGGAATCTATTAATGTTTACATTCTGTATAATGTTTAAAAAGAGTACTATGTGTATATAAACATTTTCAGTGGTGATTAATTTATTTTTACTTGGTAAAATAGAGTTTAGGGAAAAATTGAAATAAAAATAAAGTATTCACATTTTCCTGTGGATTAGTGTTATGTGACTCGTATAAATTGAGCAAAAAATATTTCTTTTTAATTTTTGCATACTTTTTTTTATTATTTTAAAATGATAAATGCACTAGAAGTTTATACAAATGTTACACTATCTTTAAAAAAATACGAAGGTAAGTTGAAACTGAAACATAAAGTTTGTGTATACATTTGGAGTAAGTAGATCCAAGAACATCAAAGTGGTTTCTAATGTCAAGTCCACGTCCTACTGTAACTATATGTCTTTGCTATGTTTTTCTCGTAAAGGTACACATTAACTAACATGTACTTAAAACAAACTTATTTTTTATACAGTTTTTAGGTCAAAAAGTTATGGAAAAAAAGAAACCTTTCAGTCTTAGAAAAATATTGATGGTTTATAATTTTTTCCAAGTAATTTTTAGTGCTTGGCTATTTTACGAAGTAAGAATTAATTTTCAATCAATTTCGAATAAGAAATGTACCACTTTTTTAGTTTTGTGCAAGTGGTTGGCTAACCGGAGAGTATAGCTTTCGATGTCAACCTATTGATATTTCTCCCAGTCCAAGAACTATGCGAGTGAGTATTCACAAATTTTTGTAAAGAAATGTTGGACAATTAATGTTATTTACAGATGGTTAATGTAACCTGGTGGTATTTTTTTTCAAAATTTACAGAATTGGTTGAAACGGTAAGTCGTAATATTGACTTTGTTAGTGTGTGATTTACCAAAATGTAGATTTTCTTTATTCTGAGAAAGAAATTTAACCAAGTAAATGCACTACATGTGTTTCACCACAGTATTATGCCTGTCTCTGCTTGGGTGGCCACCAAGTACTATCCTAGTAAGTCAAAAAGGTCTGTAATTTTTGATTGTATCTCATTTGGTCTATTTCAGACGGACATGGAACGTTTCCAGGATTATTAAATACCTTTGTACATGTGATAATGTATTCTTATTACTTCTTGAGCGCTTTTGGGCCAGAGGTGCAGAAGTATTTATGGTGGAAGAAGTATTTAACAAGACTACAAATGATTCAATTTGTTATAGTAATGTTCCACGCCTTGCAATTACTTGTTGTTGACTGCAATTTCCCAAGGATCTTTATTTGGTACATGGGATTGCTAGCTCTAAGCTTTTACACTTTATTTAAAAAATTTTATGACAGAGAGTATAAATCAAAACAAAACGCTAAACGCAAATAAAAATTTACATTTCTTTATTAGATTTGTTTACTCCTTACTATACTTTCACCTAATAGTTGAGTAACAATATAAGCACTGATTCAGAGACATGCACACAATATTTTTACTGAACAGGTTTTTTTTTATTTTTATACTTACTATCAACCTTAACTGTGAAATAATAGTAAACTAAAGTACGAGTTGCAGAAGGTATCTATTCAAGCACAAATTTTAAATTCCGAAACGAGCCGCGTAGCGGCGAGTTGAGGAACAAATTAGCGCTTGAAGAACCTTTTGCAACAAGTGCTTTATACTATTCTTTCTATTTTGCCGCTTTATATCATTTTATAAAATAAAAGACATTTTTTTTTCTAGAGAATTTTGCGACGGTCGGCGACATTCATGTGGAATAATTTTAGGCGGCTGTGAAAAATAAAAATAATTATTATTTTCACATTTGAAAATGAATTGTGAAGAAAGTCGGTCACTAAAATTAAATTTTGGTACACGCTCCGCAAAATGATACTTTAGCAAACTCATTTGAGTCCGCAAAATGCTACTTTAGCGGCCTAGTACTTTTGCATTTTAGCGGACTGGAAGGTAACTTAGCAACACATTAGAAACATGATTTTATTGCAAAATTAACAATAAATTTACATTGAGAAATGGAAATGAAAATTACAGTTTTTGGCATTTTTAAAACTATTTTCAGAAAAAGAAAGATCTTTTTCAGTTAGGTTTTTCAGATTTGAAGTGATGGATTAGTTTGAAGATTCTACTGACGTCGATGTTGATGCAACCACGTCAACAGAATTCGCCACAGATGAAATTGATGCACCTGATTCTTTTTGTCCCATGATCAAAGCTGCCACTTTCTTTACTGCAGGATGCAAACTCCGTAGTGCATACCTTTTCGTCCAGATAGGCCAACATCACATCTTCATTCACGAGAGTCACGCCATTTGCCTGTTTCCAATCACGAAACGAAGCATAATCTTTTTCATACTGGGCTTTAGACTTCGCCGGAAGCAAATCCGAAACACTTATTTTTGCTTTTTCGGAAATGAACGCCGGAACTTCACACATCTTCAACACAACCGTTTTTTCGATAAACAACTGGTTGCCATAATAACGTCATGACACCTACTACGCTTTCACACAGTTTCCACATTTTACGATTCAGAATTCAAATAATTCACATTTTCAGAAGATATTTGCAGAGCTGATACCAAAAAATTATGTATGAACCCCGTACGCAAAATGTTTTAGGGGACTCATCTCATTAAAGACTCGACTCGTCCCCTAAAACAACATTTTGCGTACTTGATACATAAAATACTATAACGCTAACGACTTATTAAATCACTCAAATGACGTCGTTTGAATTTAAGTTGAATACAATATATTATTCTTCGAATTAGACTCAATAAGGCTCTAAAATTGCTTTAGATCTGTTAAAAATGATGTGACGTTTCATATTAAGAAATGCCAAACTGTTGTCAAAACTTCCTAATATAGGAGAAAACCATAAATTTTGACAATGTCGAAGAATAAAATAATAATTGCTTTATTGACATTTATTTTCGGATATATTTCGAATATTTTTGCAATTTTTTTTCCGGTAATCTACTTACACGCACGAGAAACTGTAGATAAACAAAAAAGTTAAAACAATTAATGACGAATACAACGTCATTTTGTGCAAATTTAAAGAATTTTGATCGGCAGGGGGAAGAACGTAATATGTAACATGGAATGTATCGATTGTTAACATCCTCGGCTTGTACTCGTCGCTTAACTCGGATGTTATCACGTCGTTACATTTATTGTTACTGAAATAACTACTATCTTATAGAGCAAGAGCCTGCGGTCGCCAGACCTTCGTCATTTTATAAAAGCTGAAAGTTTGTCAGCGCTTCCAACACAGATAGGAACGATGGGCAAGTATGAAGTTTGGGTCATCGTGGCTTTGGGAGATAACAGGTAGCAAAGAAGTAAAAAATACCAACTTAAATTTATTGAATAAAAAAGCGTAATTTTATTTATATTGTAATGTGTTTTCTTTTATTTACTATTTTACTTATTTAAACCGGGCGCCACCAACTTTTTCCTAAAAGTTGGAAAAGAACTGTTTGGAGATGTTCTCCAGGTTTACACTACATAAGAATGCCTTTCCGGTCAGCTTTTATACAGTGGAGAGGAATGGGGAGGTTCGATTGAATTAAACACAGGTGATTGAAAAGAGAAATTTATTTAGTAACCATAACAACAGTAACAACAGATAAAATAACAAACTTTACAAAACAAAATCTAACTTGGACCTAGTGAACCCTAGCCCTTGGAGAAGATGTCCTCCGTGGGTGAATTTGAGGGGAGAAGTCCCGTCGGTTGCTTTTCCTGAAGAGGTCCAGGAAATTATACCACCTGGAAACTGTCCCAGATGTTAAGCCCTTACCACGGAAGGGATCCCGTGGCCCGTGTTCAGAGGTGAACTCGGCTCCCAGAAACTGTCCTGAGGCAGGTGTGGTTTAACGACGGAAGAAGGTCCCGTCGACCGTATTCTTTGAAGATGTCCAAAGAGTACTATCCTTCAGAAGCCGTCCTGAAGTTATTCCACCAAGAGAGGTCCTGGTGATTTCGTCCGAAGATGTCCGGAAGGAGACTCAAGTGAATCTGCCGGTGTGGCGGCCCGTTCTCCTTTATATACGCCTTGAAGTCAACATTCCTATAGCAACAAAACATACACTTTGTTTCCACTTTTGATCCATTTATCTGGGCGTACCTCTCATTGGTCTATTTTTGGCGGTTCTTTTAAATAAAACACCGACACATCATAACGTTTATTCAATGAATTTTTACACTTTATAACTGACTAATTGTTTGGAAAATATGCTACACATATTTCTAATACCAAACAAATACTAAATCTAAAATTTTATTACAATATTTTCTTCGGAATAATATAAGAAATTACCTCACCCATTGCCAGACACTTAATATTGTGGCAACCTCTTGTCAGACACCCTTAAACTTTAATAAATTGTAACTATACTTACGTTATACTATAAAAGCTGAATTTTATACATGTTACTTGGACAACTATTAGAAGATGTTTTCTCTCAGTAACCAGACAGTTTTGACAGTTCTACCCCCGACCAGACAAACATGTAGGGTAGCTATAGGCCTCCCATGATGATACTTTGTCAAAACTGAATCACATTTATTTTACTTAAAACTTAGAACTTAGCACTTAGAACTGTCAAAACTATCTGGCGAATGAGCAAACAACTTCTAATAGTTACCCAACTAGCATGTATAAAATTCAGCTTTTATAGTACAGTGATGGACAGTGAATTTCGTCCACCCAATTTCTGTGAATTCACAAAAATTCACTGTAGTCTGTGCTTTATTGTCATGATAACTGACATTCAAATACGTATTGTCAAATTTAATTAAATTCAAACATGCCAGTAGTAAGTGAGTTTAATAAAATAAAAATTATCTCTCTGGTACAAAAGGGTATGTCTCAAAGACGTGTACTTTTGGGCATACCAAGGACTACCATTTCAAAGAACAAAGGTAAAATGTAGCAAGAAGCATCAAGCATTCTGTGAACATGACAAACGTTAATCAAAATTCTGAAACAACGTTAGGAAAACCTAAAGACTAATTTATATTTATAATCTGTCATGGAAATTGGGTGGACGAAATTCACTGCCCGTCACTGTATAACGTAAGTACAGTTACAATTTATTAAAGTTTAAGGGTGTCTGACAAGGGGTTGCCACTATATTAAGTGTCTGGCAATGGATGAGGTGATTTCTAATATTATTCCGAAGAAAATATAAAAAAATACACTTTTTTATTTGATAAATTTAACTTGATATTTTTTACTTCTTTACCTGTTATCTGCCAAAGCCACGACGACCCAATCTTCATACTTGCCCATAGTTCCTACCTGTGTTGGAAGTATGCGCTGACAAATTTTCAACTTTTTTAAAATGACGATGGTCTGGCGACCGCGGGCTCCTAGACTATTATTTTAGTAACAACACATAATTATAAATTTTTTTGCGCGATTAGACTCTATTCGATTGTTTACTACGTCTGTTTTCACGACAGTAAGTTGTATTTACTCGTTGCTATCCCAAACTCGTCCGTAAGGATTTTTGTTTATTGTTGCTAAGTCGGTAAGCATTCAAGAATGTTCTAGAACGGCAAAATACTTTACCGTTCTAGAACATATTTTAAATATTTTATTAAAAAAAATACTAACAAAAATCAATCGCGCAAAAAATGTCATAAGGATCACGAACGTTAAGGACTTACCGATCTCAGACAATAATCTCAAATAATTGTCTTCGATCGGTAAAATGTCCTTACCGTTCTTGATGCTTAATATACTATTGTGTTATAATTATTTACGTTTTCAGAGCTGTTAAGAAGGCCATAACGACCGAGGGAGTTGTTTGTTTCGACGAAGAAGATCCTTAATTCTCTCGCGGTCTTTATGGTCTTCAACAGCACTTATGACCTACAATGTTTTTACACTAAATTACTAGGTATACTTTAAAAAAGTATATACAGCCTGCGCCAGAACTCGCGCCCCAGAGAAAAATTTCAAGTAAGACAGGTTACCAGGAACATGTTTAAAAAATTCTATCTGTCAAAAAATTTTGACATTTATTTTTTGACATTTGACAATTTTTTATGTCTATTTAATGATACTGATGCTTTAAGTTTCCTAGAACAGATCAATTTGCAGATTTCAGTAAGTTTTTTGACGAAAAACATTGTCTGCGATGTTTGTTGTCTGCTTGTTATTAAATAAATATTTACGATTAAATACATGTTACTTCAGTTCAGCAAATTATTGTAGCCACTTTCCTTTTGCAGGTAGATAGATAGATATTGCATAATACATTAAAATGAATAAGCAATTGAAAATCTGGTTGGTAGTAATCTGATAAATTGTTTTAGTTGCAAATATGTAGTAAAGAAAGCTAATAATTAGATGCTTTTACTGTAATTAGTCAGTTTTCAATTAACAAAAAGATGTTGCCAACATCTGTCTTGACGCAAGAGTGACTATTATTACAAATCTACTAACGTTGGCCAAATTTAATTACGAAATTGAAATTTCTCGAATCTGCACTCATATCCATTGAGAAAGTAATGGAATAGCAATTAAAATCTGATGTTTCGAATTGGAAGTGATCTCTTAATCTCTCAGTTAATCTATTATGAATAGATAATAAAAATTATTTAATAAAACATAATGTGTACAGTTACGTGTTGTGGTAATTAGTACTGTAATAAATAAATTAACTTTATTAAGAGAAAAGTAAGGCTGGGTTTCTAAAGATCTTTGTAATTTTCTCAGTTAGTTAAAACGTAGTAAAACTAGAAAATAAACACGTTTCACAAATTTATTTAAATTAAAAATATAAAACATTGAGCAAATACAAATTACGTAACATATTTGTAACAAATATTACACCAATAACTAATATAATAAAATTATTGAAAAATGTTGCTTAAGGTTATACGTCTTCTGTATTCACTGAATACATACATCTTTATTAGAAGCGTATAATTTTCCTAGCACACGCCACAGATGGACACAAAACGGCTGTTCCACCACACAAAACTTTTGATTGATTGAAAAACAAACATCTTTCTACCCAGTCGTATCGCTTCTCTTCCTGACGTGTTATTCGCCACCGGTTATGCTCACCCTAAGATTTCGATAAATACACGTCTGTTTTTAAAACAGATCTATCTATGACTAGGTTAAGAATATTTTACTGTCACTATGCTACGATAATATCATAAAATACGAATTGCACAGATGAGGTAAAAAGAAGATAGTAAGTACGAAAATACTTTTGTCTACATTATGACACTTGACCATTTTCATTTTAGTCCTACTCTAACTCGTCCATGACTCGTGACCAACTTAAAGTAAGTCTAATTGCAATTGGTCTACTACTATACAATACAATAAATACAATTTTTTACTAAACCTATACATCTTTACTATTCCGCTTTGACTGATTTGGGTTTCCGACTGTATGTCTGGTAGTAGAAGTGTGTGAACAGCGCGAAGAAGATTGCCGAATGGAGAAGAAGAAGAGCTCCGATGAACCTCGGATAGCCGCAGTCGGTGAAGAGCAATTGAGCAGAATGAATGAACACCAGCCCGAATTGCACCTAAAATTTATACATATTTGATATACAACAACATATACGAAAACAACTCGATGTTCTTGTCTGAAAAGATGTCATCAAGTAAAATTCGGTCAGAAAAGTGCCACTTTCACTACACTCGTACATAACAACGCCGTCTAGATGGCGCACCTCTATACCATTTAAACACTGACCTCTTTTTGTTTATTTAGATCTGAATGAGATGATTTATAAACGAAATTTTTTGATACTATGAAATACTTACCAGTTGAATGGTGGTGAGATGTTTCTTCCACCATAAATACTTTTGGTATTCAGGTCCCATCGCAGCTACCATGTAATAAAAGTACATGATAACATGGACCATATTGTTGATTAGGTTGGAAAACGTGCCATGTCCACCTGAAATAAAACGCTTCGAATTAATTTTATTTCGCCATTGCAGAACCAGTTATTAAACATAATGTAACACATTTTTGCATTGTATGTACGCCACTGTCTGTACCTAATTTACGCACTATTTGTGCTAGAATACAGTGCTGCAAGAGAGTGGTACGGCATCTCCCGGTGAAATCATTCAATTAAAATTATATAATATCGAAGCGATTCTGGACCTCTTCTTCGATTCTGGACCGTCGATATTTACGTTATTACTTACACTTTCTAACCAGTTTCCTATGCCGCTAACTTGAGTTTTTTAAGTGTAAATGGCAATGTGTTGGCCAATCGTTAGACAATATCTGGTGGGGCAATACGTTTGATACTCGTATTGTTGCAATTCTTGTAGAAATCTACCAGTTGATAGAGTTTTACATGATTTTGCGCAATTGACCACCAAAAAGGTCTTTGTGCACATGCACAAACATCCCGAACATCCGACCAATTTCGTACGGTTTAGAAGTGAAAGGTTGACAACACTGACGTCAGTTCCTCCACCCCGAAATTACCGCCGGCTCTATTACAAACTGATAAGTGTGTTACTGCTATATCGATAACATAATTTGATCACACAAACTATGTATCTTCAGCTAATGGAAAATGTTGCTCGGCCATGCCTCCAGATTTCAGATTTTTTATTATTTTTAGGGTTTTAATCATATTTACAAACAAACAGTACATATATACGTAAAACGGTGTATGTACCACCATTTCTAGTGAGATTATTTACGTGTTTTTTTCAGTTTTGTTTTATAAGTTATAAAACAAACAATGTCATAGTTGATATTTTTCCCTGTTTTAGTAAATTCTATAACTATTAAATTGTTGCTGATGGAGTTTGTGTGTTTGCAATTAACGAACGCTCCTTCACACAGCTGTTTTACATTTTACATTCAGTTATACGATTTACCTACTTCTTTTATTTTAATGGCAAATAACTACAAAAAGTTCTTAATGCAGTGTATTTTAACATCAAAATATCTTTATACCTATTAAGTGAACTTTAACGGTTGATATTTTAAAAATAAAATGAAAATGTAAATTTAAATCATTATTTTCTGGTACGTTTAGGATCAAATAGAATAATCAACATATAAAACATTTCATGTAAAATATAATATTTTGGGAAATAGTTCTTTAAATATTTCTTTTCTGAGAAAAAACAGAACTGACAATTTCCTATTATCAGCTCTTTAATTTTCGACGTTGTCGGATTTAATTTATTGTCAAATTTACTAGTTTTTTAGTGTTTTATACACCATAATACCATAAAAAAAATTTTCAACAGGTGGGTATGTAATTATCAGACACAGAACTAGGCCCTCATATTTGGGTGGGCCACAATAGTTTTTTTAAAGTGTGCTAAGTAAACCTATATGTTATGATAAAACCGGATAACACTAGGCACCATGTTTCAAAAACCAGCAAAAATGTCTTAAAAACCTTAATGTTAGTGAAAAGTGGTTCTGGAAATAATACTTATGTAAAAAAACTATGTTAAAGTTGTATAAACAGTAATAAATTTTTTTTTTTTGAAAATTTTATGTTTTTTGTTTTGAAGCAGGTGGGCCAAAGGGTGGGCAAACACAATTTTTGGTGGGCCATAGCCCATCCAGGCTCCCCTGTAGTTACGTGCCTGGTAATTGTTTAATGTTGCAAGATCTGCAGTCCAAACAGCAGAAAACTTAATAAACCAGAGATCTTACTTTTGAAGAGCCACATCACGTGAAAAAGACTCAAACATTTTTTTGTCATGGGAGCTTTTAACTCAATTGGATGTTCTTTATCACCATCCAAGAGATGGTCCGAGACTTTTGAATCACTCTGTATAGATTGTATAATTAAATATTTATGTTTCATTGCCATTATCCAAGAGATTATTTATGGGAAAGCAGAGGGCATAACTTGGCTGATCAACTGAAACCTTGTAAACACTAAAAAATAAATGATAAATCTCGTATGATGAATAAAATGAGGAAAATTTTAGAAAAAAATTTATTACAGATCGACTTTTCTCAACAATGAAGGAAGGCAACCTCCTTTTTTTAATTTTATACATACTATTTGTTGTCAAGTTACAAAACGCTTTTTAAAAAATATTTATAGAAATATTTTAGTTTCATATAAGTAATTATGAATTAAGTAGGTATTTAATACTACGTAGAGGTAGTTTAATTAGGTTTTACGTATATTTTTATCTTAAAATTACAAAAGATTTAATACACGTGTTTATTAGTTCGGTCAAATTAATTGTTACTAATTAAAAATAAAAACCACACATACAAGTTTAACAACTCGTTTTATTTCTTTCTTTTTTATCAGAATTTTTATTTTTTTTAATACATTAAACTCCCATTATTTAGTTCTAGAATTTAATGATGGTATGTATCGTATAATAATAATTAAAGCAGTTCAAAGACATTTTTTTAGTAATTAAGGCTGATATATATTTCTTATTAAATAACTTGCGTCAGTCATTAAAACTCGGAATCTTAGAAGTGCAATTTTGATATTTCCAATGTAGTTGTTCTCACCTAAGGTCATGGATGTGTCTCCTTCACTCCTTGATTTTTAATAGTTTACAATGTTAATTGGAAGCAATTTATTTAAAGTGTAATAATAACGAAGACGGTCATAACTTCTGCCAAATATTGATTTTCACTACTGCAAATACGCTGCCGTGTTTAATGGTGATGTTTTTGTGTAATTTTCCAAATAAAAAAGTTTTTATGGAACTGTGAAGATAAAACAATTTTTTTGCTCACGTCAGTAAACAGTTCTTTCTTCTTTCGGATTTCTTTCAAGCTGCCAATCATTCATACTCCAAGCTATAAAATTGCATTACTTAATTATTACAACAAGCAGTTCAACAATGACTTCCACGACAACCTGCTTGACAACGTACAGCATTTATCAATCTGAAGTCAAACGGAAGTGGTTATTACAGCGTCTTGTTTAATTTGTTGAGAATTAAATTTTAAATTTTAAATTATAGTATTTTAACAAGTGCTGATTATGTAAACCAATGTTGTTTAAATTTAACTTTTTAATAAAAAAGCTACTAAATATAATTATGGCAATATGCAAAAGCAAAACTAATTAAAATGCAGTTAAAATTTATTTTTTTTGTTTGATATTTACAGTAAACATACTCATAGTTTCTAACTTTTTCAGTTTGTCGTTAATAAATATACGTATTTCAAAAGTTTTAATTATATCTAGCGTTGATTTTATAGTTTATTTATTTTCTTTTTTCAGATATACGTTTGAAGAAAAAATTGAAAAGGCAAATTAGAGAAATAAATTATATAGCTTGTGATCAATATTAAGGAATGTAAGTTGGCAAAAAAGAATAATTTATACAGTTCATCGACCAACACCCGACCTTAAATAAGAAAATTGAACTTGGAAACTGCTCAAGGTTGTAGCTAAAACATTGCTAGCTGTTAGAAATAAGTTTTATTGATAAAAGAACCGAGAACTTTGGCTGAAACATTTTGATAGTTTAAAGATAATTATTATATCCTAACATAATTTCGGTTATCTTTTTTCATGAAAGTTTATATCAAACCGGCGTATTATAAGCATAACAAATAATAATGATTGAAAAAGTTTAAGGTTACAAAATAGTGCTTTTTGTTGTTTGACTACTAATGCAGGACATTGAGGCTACAATACTCAAAACTAATCAGCTTTTAATTTTATTAATTATAGAATTTATTTTTTTATGATATTGGCAAATTTGATAATTTCACAACTTTCAAAAACTAGCTTAAAATTGTTTAAATTAAGTGTTAGTACAATACAAGGTGATTTAAAAGTGTCGGATCATTTCTTGGGTGGTGATAAAGGACATCCAACTGAGTTAAAAATTCCCCAGACAAAAAATTGTTTGTGCTTTTTTTACGAGATTAGGTTGTGAACCGTTCAGATCATATATATTTTTGAAATTAGTGAGCGGAAACGATAGATATTGCAGCATTGATCAACTACCTGTTGAAAAAAATCACCGATTTGTGTTTTATGGTGTATAAAACATTTAACAAACTAGCAAATTCAACAATAAATTAAATACGACAACATTGGAAACAAAAGATGTAAGATGCCCACACTGACGGACACGGAATTTTGGACATCAAATTTATGTCAAAAAATGTCAATGTAATCCACGCTTTATTGTCATTATGATTGACGTTTGAAACTAAAATTTGAAAGTATTAGTTGAAATTTATTTTTTGCGTCGATGTTCCGAAATAATAATGCCAGCAATACGTGTTTTTACAAACTTAAATTATTTTGATTTGGTGTAATCTTTTCTCTGGTAGACAAAAATTACAAAAACCGAAAGTGGGGTTAGTTGCCTAAGGCCCGTTTTACATTTTTATGTCAGTCGAATGACAAATCGTCCAAAATCCAGTGTCCGCCAGTGTAATATAGAAATTGACAGTTCTGTATGTTCTCAAAAAATGCTTGAAAAAAATCTGAATTCATTTTCATGCTTAGTTGTAAGTCACCATTTGAGAGTTGAATCACCCTGTATATCGAACGATCAAATTATTAATATTGTGTAATCGAATCATTCATGGATTTAAATTTGTGTGTCGTTACTTGAACTACACGCTTAAACACAGGTGACACGGGTTATGTCTTGACAGTTGACATTTCATGTTTCATGTAAAATTTCAACGATTGTTGAAATTACAACAAATTGAAATGTATAGAGCTTATTCCATATCTGGTGGCGAACTGACAGTGACAGAAAAGACACTTGGAGTGCGCCCACTTGGTTAAGATAAAAAATACATGGGCGTACTTTTTCTCTTTAAAAATTTTGAAGACAAGGATTGTTATAAATATCATTTTTGAAAATTCTTTTCATGCGTTAACAATTTAATAATTTGTTCATCATTCTTCATCTTATGTCCGAGTCCTTATTATAATTTTTTAAGTGGTTTTGAAATATTATTTCATACGACGCTTATGAACAATTTTTTTTTTAAAGTAAACATATGTTTAGTGTCAAAATTCAGTCATTTTTGACAACGTCAGTTCGCCACCAGATTTGGAACAAGCTATATCCAGAATTAAAATCTGAGACTAAATTGAAATTAACAACAGAATTAGAATTGGAAACTACAGCTTTTTCGGATATGTTAAAAAATTACATTAAAAAATTTTTTAAAACCAAAAAAAATTGATTTTTTTAACCTGACGTAGCTTTAGAACAAACCCTAGGATATGACTCAATAACAAATTAATTTCATCGGTCGATACAAATTAATTCTATAATACGAAATTAATTCTATAATAGAGATAATGAGATACTCCGTAAGAAAAACTTGAAATTGTTGAAAATATTTCTTTCTTTCTTTCTTCTTTCTTTAAAATTGGGGTGATTTTTTTACTGTGAATTTCTGTCAAATATTAAAAATAATCCATTTGTTTTTCAAATTATTTTTTTTATTTATTTTGCTAATAAATCATTTTCTAAATAACTTTGCCACTATTAATTGGGTCGCTCGCTCGTGTACTTAATTTAAAAGAATTTAAAGGTTACTATAATAATTTTAATTTGCTATTCAGTAAACTACAAATTAAAGAGCAGTTGTGTCACAGTATTTTAAAATATCTAAAATTTTTCATAACATCATGAAAATAGATATAGTGCGACTTGGAAAAGTCATGGAGTATCGGATTATTTCATCACAGCATTATTTTTATTTAGAAAACAATGTTTACGGTTTGTGAATGATAAATGATAATAAAATATAATTGGGTGCAATTAATAACGCTAACAAAACTTTGCCACAAACTTGAACTGTTTCAAGGTGTTCAATGTGAAATAAATGCATTTCAGTGGGTGAAGTCGTTAGACTAAAAAGCAGGAAAAGATTTGACACCTGGTCCCCGGAAAATCCTTCACTATTGGCACATTCCGCATTCTAACATGTTTCCTTCTCAGAATTTGCAGTTTTATATGGTTTTGATGTGTACCACGCGTGCCTGATTTAACATGTCCTAGCAGTACGGCCACCTTGATAGCCTCCTGTTAAAGAGCAAGGTTGTCAAATAATTAAAAAAAAATCACTTAAAACCCGTGTTCTCTCTATCGAAATTGTGTCAATGGCAGAATTAAGCAATGCCGAGGTAAAAAAATAATTAAATTGCCTAATTATAAGTAAAAATCAAGACCGAAATATGAGGTCGTGCTCCCGTCCAGCTTTGAACTTGAGAAAATCCGCTCTGCCTTGATTAAAAATGGTTCGTCGCGTCATTAACACGTTTCCTCTTCTTACACGATAATTGTTTATCAGCCTTGACACGGATGTTTTTGATCGAAACGTTCGTAAGTTATCGTTGAAGTCTCCGTTTATACCTGCAAGGAATTTCACAAGAATCCACGTTTCCAAGGGCGTGAGGCTGTGATGATACAGGTGCAGGAGAGTAACTTGACTGTCTTTTTTGCGCAACACGAAGAAGACTGTATCAGCGAATTCTGTTAGCTTCGAGATGTAGTACCACCAGCACAAGTTTGCCATCTAGAAAAGAGAACGAGATTAAAGCTTTATTTGCAAAAAAACTCCTGTCTTATTGGTGTTGCGCATCTTCAAGGTTTGGTCAAAGAAGCAAGAAAAAAGATTATATTTAACACGAAATGACCTGTCGCAAGAAGGACTTTTGTGGAGGCTATGTAATTATAAAGGTGAGCCACCTATGACGGGCGGTTTCCCGTCCGAAGGAAAACTTTCTACACAAATAATAAGACAACAACTGGTCAATGTTAAATGACTTTGGGTAAATAATCATGTTAGGCAATCATTAGACACAAATAGAAGTGTTTGCATTTTTGTGCTCTTTTATTTTTATGGAAAAACCACGTTTCAAGTTATGAAGTAGTTAGTTTTTGTACTTTTGAATATTCTGGATCTATCTATAACAAAAATATACTAAATTAAACCACATTTAAAGTTTTTGTTTTATTTTCTGCAATACTGATAAAAAATATGCTACAATTAGCTCAATTTCTAAGAGATATCACCTTGTGCCGATTTTGCTTCTAAAGTTAATGGCAACATTCACCATTGAATGGGAATTCGGTTCCTTACGTGTAGTTTTTGTTTACATGATAAACATTTGGTAGATAAATGAAGTAGTGCAACTTTTAAATTCTCTTTTTTTATAGGAGAATTTGGTTGACTGAACTAAAATGTTGTTTCTCTGCAAAAAATTGCTGTCGTTTTAATTTTTTTTAGACGAAAATCTGAAATCTTTTGGCTTTCTGTATAAAACTAAAATATGTGAATCTTACCGACAAAAAAAAACAAAAAATTATAGGTATACCTACTTTGGAAAAAAATACAAAAAGCAACTGAATTATTATATAAAAGTCATAAGTAAACTGTTATTTACATTATACGTGCGGTAGGTATAATTCTACAGCGTGATAATATTGAACACGAAACAGCAAAGCTGAGTGCTTTAAAAAAAACTGTACGCTGTAAAAGAACTAATGCACAAATAATATACAAAATTCTTCGGTAGAAGATATGACGGTGTATGCATTTGAATTTATTTAGAATAAAAATATGGGTTTATTTTTGAACAATGAATAGATAAATAAGTGCGTTCTCTCGGCATTAATTTACCATTAAAAATCCTTCTTTTTTGGGTCTCTGAAAGCCTAATTTTTATATTACCATGTAAAAATGAGATACCGTAGCTGTCAAAAATATGTCAGTTATAGTTGTCGAGGCCAAAATCGCAATAACGAGTTTGTTTTTTATATACAGGGTGCGCCAGAACTCGCGCCCCAGAGAAAAAATAAGGTAAGATACCAGGAACATGGAAAAAATGTTAAAAAAATTTTATCTATAAAAATTTCGAAGTTATGAGGGTTTAAAATTTGCACTTTGACTCTATTTATTTCTGTTGGAATGATTTTCTAAGTTTTTTTACTATAGGCTATTAAAAGAGGAAACAAGGAAGCAGTATCCTAAATTAGCTCTGTTCAATGTTATTTGTGGCTTTTATTGACAAAATTTTTGTTCCTTTACTAAATAATTGTAAAAAAACAAGATCATCAGTATCATTAAATAGATATAAAAAAAGTCAAATGTCAAAAAATAAATGTCAAAATTTTTTGACATATAGAATTTTTTAAACATTTTTTTCATGTTCCTGGTATCTTACCTTACTTGAAAATTTTCTCTGGGGCGCGAGTTCTGGCGCCCCCTGTATTTTTCACCATTGGTTTAGAATTGAAATTGATATTTACATTGTTTACCAATCCTGCAAACTAAATACCCAAGCTGATATTTTAATTGCAATACAATACTTATTATGTTTAAAAAAACAATAGGGTTACAAAATGCAACTTTAAAAGTTGTCTTAAATAAAAAAAAAAATACGAAACTTGAAGATCGAGTGTTTAAATTTATAGGAACAAAACTTATGTGATTCCTACTTATGTGTATAAGATTATAAGCATTTTTTGTTATTTCTCTGATAAGAATTGTAATACTCGTAGAGTCCTATTACTCTATTAACTTTGCAGTTTTATTTTACTCAAATCTACAAAAAAATGTTAAATGTAAAGTTACAAAAATTTGCATCAAGAAAGTACATTTGTACCATGGAAAAAACTGTTTAACACAAACCAAATATTACATTAATTTTTAAAACTACATATTTAAGAATATACATTTTAATTATGTAATTCTAAATATTTTAATAATGAGTCACTATTTCAGAATACACATCAATGAATTAAGAATTTGATGTTGAACAAATTACAGCAGAATAGAAAATATGAAATAGTGATAAACAAACATCAAAGATTTTAATTAGTTTTCAAATATTTAACTTTATTTTTAAATCTATACCCACTTGTATTATGTAAGCTATATGTTTTACGTTTATTGCTATAAATAAATTGACATTTACTGATTATTTTTACCTACCATTTCGTTACAAAATAAAAAATACGTCGCCACAATAACAAATTATGATGATATATTTATTACTGATTATCCTTGATCTGTGTTCGCTGTTTAGTTTTATTTTCTGAAATTTAAGAAAAAGAAAAAAATGTAATTTTGCAATTTTAGCGCACTAATTTGAATTTTATTTATTGCAAATCAGGAATGTTTCTATCTCTTAATACTTATTGAGTTTTAGAATTTCCTTTAATTAAACACTATTTTGGAATTTCCTGAAGCTTGAAAATATGTTTACACCGAAGACCCACATACTACCGACAAAAAACTAAATTTGTAGTTTTTTTTTTATGTAAATAATTCATTTCATTTAAACTACACGTGATTTCGAGTTCGCCGCTAATCTAAAACAAGGAATGTTCTGGAAATTGTTGTCTATTACAAACATAATTATATAGGTAATTGGAAACGGTACCTGAAAACTAGATTTGCGAATTCCAGTTTACAGTTGCCTCCGACTAGTCTAGGAAAAATTTAAATCACTGAACTTACCCTTAAGGCTTTTTTGTTGTTGGAATAGTCGACAGGTTGACATTTGAAGCTGTAATCCCAGAACCACCCGCTCATTAAATGCTGAAAAAAAACAATAATCACGTAACTTTTGTCGCTTTCAAGACCATCCGACTTTCTCCATTCACGTCCTTCAAAACACTATTAACCTTGTTATGGCAACGAACGTCCTTGGGGAGAAAGTTAGCGGAAGAAAATAGCACTTGTTAACGGTACTTGTTACATGACCTCAAAGCTCCAAGGTTATACAACGGCTAAGTACTGAGAGCATGAGTTCAAGGCGAAGTTTGTTGATAGTTAATCGAAAAGTAATAACGAATTCAGAGAACGCATTAAAACCCAATTTACCTCGTATAACATGAAAAGGCTGTAAAGGACTTGCGCTCCATTGTAGGCTATGAGTACCTCGCGGAATTTAAAGGGTTTCCTATTCGCCATAAAACGGGGGCCTAGGATCAGGATCACGTACAAATATGTTACCACCATCATTATAGTGGGAACCGGACTCTGCATTAGCGGCCAGTCTGACGTTCGAGGATCTGCAAGGACACGAGGTCAACATGTGTGCAAAGTGGGATTTCCCAAAATCTTATACTCACCACTTATCCTGTCTAAGATGGTATGGTATCTATCGAAGGCCATTCGCACTAATCCTACCATTTCCTGAAACGTAAAAAGCTGTCATAGAATACAACAATTTTTAAAATAAGATTTAGAAATTTTCAGTCATTTGAATAGTAATTTTATTGTTAACGTCTAAGCAGACCGAAAAATTACTACCAAAATTGTTCATCTTCTCATCACAGAAATTACGTAAGAGCGTGCCAAAAGCGGCCTCATCTTTATTTAAAGACTAGAAACCACTCTGGTTAATTACAATATGCACGTGTGATCTTGCTGACTAACAAAAAACGGAAGTCGTTGACTAAAATTTGAATTTAAATGTAAAAAAGCAAGGTTGGTTTTAGACGAGGTTGTAAAGGATGTTTGCGTGGAACAAATGTACGCCTCTGATCAGGTGGAATTTAAAAGTAGCGCACTTTAATATATTACTATGAAACCACATTGTGCAAGAAAGAAATTATATAAAACCAGAGTTGCCAAACAAGTCCTTAGGGAAATATTTTCGTGCTTGGCAAGGCCGCCAATTTCTCTTTTTAGAATTCAAATTTTCGGACAGCCTTGTCAAAAATCAAACGCACAAAAAATGTCAATAAGGAAAGCCTCGAATTAATTGATGTTGAAATATATGAATGGAGTCAGTGACACTATTAATATTTAAGAAAAGTTAGAACGAGGTCATATTGTCAGGAAGCATGATTTTTATTAATTCTATTAAAACATGACATAATTTTTAATTTTATCTCTTACATTGTTATTATACGTAAAAAATACTTTAATATAAATAACAGACGTGCCAAACATACTTATTTGGACTAAGGTGCTACTTTTAATGTTTTTAAGATTATATTTCTGCAAATCATTGGGCAAAGTACCCGGAGAGCTGACTCATTACGTTTAATACAGACCAATTTAAAAAAATTGGGAAAACTTAAAATAACCCAATTAAAGACCTTCAAGCAAAAATTTTAATAACATACATCTGAAATTTGCAGAAAACGAAACTTGTCATTTGCTGATATTATTAGAAATAATTGGACATTTTGGTAAGTCTACCTTAAAAAATTGCAATATTATAAGATAATTATCGGGGTAATGTCTGCTATTGACGTCACAGCTAAATTTTTGGAAAAAAACCCAAAATTTCGTTGAATCGTAGTTTCCATTGCTAATAAATATTTGGAAGATTTATTAGTGTTTTTATACAAATAAGTTAAGGACAATAACGAATTAACTATTTTATTGAAACGTTAAACATAGAGGAGTTTGAATAATAATTACTTTTTTACGTTAATTTCGTTGCACGTGTAACATATTCTCGAATTAGTAATGCTTGTCTAAGAGTAACTAATCATAAATAAAAACTGTAGTTACGAGAAATTTACATCGTACTATTTTTTTTTTTGGAAATCATTAACATAAATAATGCCACTTTGATATAAATATGATAACTACTCAAAAAAACTTAGATCATTTTTTCTTGAGTTGACTGAAAATGTGAACCGTTTCTTGCCCTAGCATTGAACTCTCTTCGACCGAACATAAAAATGAACTGCGGAAACTACACATGCTGGAAATTCCTAGATTAGCGTTACATGCAACTATTCGGATCAGACTGACGTCAGAGAATAAAAATCATCAGAACTCAAAGTTAGATTTTGTACTTGGTGAAGGCTGTAAGCTTTGGAAACTGTAAATTCACATCATGAAATTTGTGTTACATGATTGTTATTTTATGTCTTGTTTTTAACATTTTACAAGATTGTATCTCCTATGTTAACTATTTCAAACAATTAAGTAAAGACGCATTTCAGTGTCTAAACATCACAAGTTTTTTTATGGCAAGAGTTGATTTATGAATAATAATAGTTCACAGACATTTTAACTTGCTTCTGTTGAATTTCCTCTAAGTTATGAGGTTCCGCTTGTGCAGGCAAGTTATTAAACTTTCAAAGGTTACAGTTTCATACTACATACCTATGCATGTATGTACACGATTGTTGTCAAACATTGATTTGTGGTTTGGTCAAATTCGGGAAAAATTATAATTACTTAATTCTTGGTAATTAAAAAAAAATACTATATACTTTATAAATTCTGTGTATTACTGGAATTTGAGATTAGCATTTACGTCACTCACCAGTCATTAACAAAAGATTAAGAACTAATCAATTAAAAGAAAAAAAATTGTCAACCGAACTAATAATATTTAGTACTTTAATGTACTGAATAATGAATTTCAATTTTTATAGCTCCTAATTTCTATTGCATGTTACTTGAAAAATTTTTAAACATTGGACTTTTTATGAAAAAACGAGTTTTACACTATTACACATTAATAGTGATACTAACGGTTTAATTAAATACTACATATACTACTATGCTTTGCATAACAAGAAACTTGTTAATGTTGTTAAAAGAGCGCATTGGGAAATAACTTTGAATGAATTATTTTTTACGTTACTTTATTGTAATTTGCTAGTGGATACTAATTATCAAAATTCTTTCTTATTGTTTAAATTTTCGAAATCAACTTCTGTAATCAAGTTACAAATTACCTCTAATATGTTATAATGGTTAAAAATAACAAGTGTAACATTTGCAGAATATTTGGTGAGAAGTGTTGAAAAAATGTGTTTTAAATCACATAGGCACTTCACTAATTATTGTAATAAATCTAATTGTAGGCGTACTGAAAACATGCATACATTTAGGATAATGAATGTCATAATGTAGTAATGATGGTAGAATAATAACAATGAAATACGTAACAAATTAACTTAAATTCTTTGCAAGACAATAGACGTGATTTTTAAATATAAGTTACACTTCGTTTCAGTCTAATAAATTTTAATTTATTTCACAGTTTCATTTATGCTAAACATTTTGGTCTGCTTTAATCAGTTTAGATATTTATGTAACTTGTCAAATTGTAAAGTAATTGGAAAGTCTCAATTTGTAAATGCTCCAAAGGTCTAGTCCGAGGCTGATTCTAGTTCAGGGTGCTCATTGCTCATGAAGATAAGAATTTTGTCATTTTTCCGAGGTCAGCGCCTAATTGGTCGTTAGAATCGTCCAATAGATGCGAGTTTTCCCCGTCATTGGTAGAGCTAAAGAATCTGTTTTGAATACAAAACAAAGCCGTGCCTACACGATTGGTGACCTGAGATATTGAGAGTTGAAAAATGTGCAACAGACTCGGGTCACCTGCCCGACTTTAATGTAGGTCACTTATATAACAAAGCAACACTTTCAATATTGCCTTACTTTTGTAATTCTTCAATTGGATTAATCCGGCTTTAGACGGAGGATGCTCGCCGCAGGTGCCCGCTCGGAGCCCTATTCTTGTCGCGAGTTATGTAAACTGGGTGTAATCATCCGAAATTTGTAGGCTGTGGTTTGGTTTTAGGTCTCGAGAAATAACTCGAGTAAAATGAGATAGATCAGTGAAACACTTTCACTTTCGTCTTATTACAGCTTGGCTGAAATGCCACTCATTTCGAAGTTATTTTGTTTACGATAGGTTACCAATCGACCGACTTTATGTAATACAGGCCAAATTTTTTACTTACTGTGTTGTTCATTTTGAATCGATTTTTGGTTTTAAAGTGGGCTCCTATTGATAACAGTTCGGACGAAATTCCGTGTGTTTGGCACCTGTCACCTGAAGCACTGATCTTCACCGAACATTTATCGCACTGAGTCTCACTTAAAATCGTAAAGTTGTTTCGACGAAGTATCCACAACAAACTACGAGCGCCATATACCAACCTTTTGCAAATTGCTTAAAAGTAAATAAAATAGGAAAGGTTCCCCCACCTAAAACCCCAAAGCCAAGAAAAAAATTCATTCTTGTCGAACGGACTTTGAAACGAATGGACCGGGTGGGGATATGATGGGCAAAAATTTAAAATTTTTTTGTCGGTTAGGGTGGGGGACGTATTGGGAAACTCTATGGGCAATGTTTACCCATGCTGGTCGCCTAATTGCGCCAAAATCTTAATTAAAAGCGCAATTTTTTCCATTACGCTGTCGCGGCGTAATCGCTCTAATTTATCATTTGCATATTGATGTAATTGTAATAATAGGAAGTGCGTTTAATAACTTTATAACGACTTGACAATATTAATTATCGTCTGTTCTGCTTGACGCAAACATTTTTTTCTCAGACCACTCTTCACCCTTGATTTTTTGCAACAATTAATATTTAAAGCAAAAACAACTGACGACGACAACATTGAACTCTACTCGATATTTCCTCAATGTAAATGCCTTCACATCAACAAAATTTGCACCTTGATATTTTTTAAATTATTCAAAAAGGATAACACACAGCTTAGAAAAATAACATAAAATTTACATTTTGGGGAATTACAAACCACATTTTTAAACAACGATTTCAAGAAGTGCTAATTTATTGAATAGAACTATACAGGTTGCGCCAGAACTCGCGCCCCAAAGAAAATTTTCAAGTAAGGTAAGATACCAAGAATATGAAAAAAATGTTTAAAAAATTCTATTTGACAAAAAACTTTGACATATATTTTTTGACATTTGACATTTTTTTATATCTATTTAATGATACTGATGATCTTGTATATGTTTTTTTACAATTATCTAGTAAAGGGACAAAAATTTTGCCAATAAAAGCCACAAATAACATTGAACAGAGTTACAATTTAGGATACAGCTTCCTTGTTTCCTCTAGCGTATAGCAAAAAAACTTGAAAAATTATTTTTCCAACTGAAATAAATAGAGTCAAAGTGCAAACTTTAAACCCTCATAACTTCGAAATTTTTATAGATAAGATTTTTTTAACATTTTTTCCATGTTCCTGGTATCTTACCTTATATGGCATTTTTCTCTGGGGTGCGAGTTCTGGCGCACCCTGTATACAGGGTCAGTCACAGGAAAGTTACTTTGAAAATTAATTAGTTTGCAACCAAAAATACCTTTAACGTATGTAACTGGATATCATATTTTATTTAAATTCATTCGGTAATCAATGTGAGCTGGATGAAAATGAGTGAGGTCGTCAAAATGACAAGTAATTGTCTACTACTTCAAGGACTATAATTTCATTTTCTGGGCCAGTAGCAGTCCTCTGACGGGGTCTTTCATTGGGGATCAATCTTGTCGTAACTTAGCTTCCAGTTTTCTAAATATTTCACAAACCGGATGCATTCAATTTGGATACCTCTCCAAGTACAGAGCTGCTGCCGCAGGAGCATTTTTCTTGCATTCTCTATGGATTAAGAGCATGCCCCCTTTTTCGTTATTTGTGTAATAATAGGTACATTGTATTAACGAAAATTGACTGTTACTTTTTAAATGTCAAATTGAAAAGATATGCAAAGTACTCTTGGATTCAAATTTATAATTTACAGAAATGAAGAAGCTAGACGCCTATGTGAATTGTATAATGGGTTGCTGTCATGGCCC